TCCTGTTCTGAGCTCTTTTGAAAATCTCACCCCACATTCTTTCAGTTGTTTTCAACTGATTTTGTGGGAATTCTGGAGGATTGGCCTTTCAGTTCTGGGAATATCTTTGTGTTAGGGTATAGCTCACAGCACTGTATTTCCATTTTCTGTCTTTTTTTTTTTTACCATTCATCCTTTTTTCATTCATTTTATCTCCATCCATTTTCCTACTCTGATAACCGTTTGGGGTTGAGTTTGATTTTGTTTTTAAAGGGCTTCCCTTTTCCTTTCCCTCCCTGTACTACTGCTCCCCCAGAACTCCATGTTAACTGAGGTACCTGTCCATCTGGTGGTTTCCTGCGCTAAGGTTCCCTGTAGTCTCAGGACTGTATGCTACAGGTGCAGCAAAAGGGGCCATGGACTTTCCATATAGTTTGTCTATTTCTTATTCTAAAGGTGGTGCAATCCTTGTCTTAAAGAATTTTACGGTTTAAAGAACTGCTGTCTTCCCGAGAGCAAGATATAGAATAAAAACGTGCTGATAAATGTGGCACGTGGTCTTAATCTACTGTGGATTTATTAAAGTACAGATGGTGTACTTTCCGAGTTCCTAGAATTACCATAGGAAGTATGTGGTCCTCAAGCTGTTCGTATACGATTAAAAAACCCCCTGCTTTTCAGATTTTGGCCAGTGAGGTTGGCTTTGAGAACATCTAAACTCTAAGAGAAACACAGCAGAAATTTCCATTTTCCATCAGTTTTTTGAGTTCAAGCCAGAAGAATGTAACATAGTTTCCGCTTCAAGTTCTCATCTAGCTTGAGAGTTTGCAAAATCAGTTGAATATAGGCTGATACGTGAGTTGTTAAGCATGTTATCTGATTTCATTGCAGAAGTTTTAGTGCAGTTCTAAGTATTGAACAAAGACTGTCATCCACTAGGTCATGCAAATTCATTTAGTGATAAATGTTGCCTCGCATGATTGTCCTAAGTGATCAGAAATCTAATCTGAGTCCGATGTCTGCACAACTCTGCAATGAATAATGCAGTAGAAGTCTGGACTGCCCCTGGCACACCCCTTTTTATCTGAATGCAAAAACCTTTCACTCATGTGAAGCAGAAGCCACTCTGACAGTGAAACAGAAATTCAGAAATTTAACTTTCACTCTAAGAAGTCATTGTTTTGCATGTCTTGCGAATGAATTATTTTTGTATCTTTTTGTACCATATAAGGAGCGTTGAGTGAATTTTACGTAGAAAAAGCCACAGAAGAAGTATTTTGGTGATCTATCTTGTGCCTGCATTATATGGATAAAGAATTTGAATTAAAAATTGTGTCCAGTTTTCCCCACAGTTTTGCCATTTCACCAATCTTCACGTGTCATGGAAAGGGAAAGAAAGACTCCTTATTCCTTTTTTTCTCCCCTCGATAGCTGTAAAAGTGATTGTTAGGATTTAATGACAAAACAGAACAGGGATTTATTTTTCTTATTCTTTTTTATCTGACTTCTTCCTTTTTTTCATTTTTTCAAGTCTCGAAAAAGTGTGCATAAAAAAGCAATTATGTATTAAAAACCAGGGCAACTTGCTTCAGCTGATCTTAGTGCTATGAATTTAAAAAGACTAAAGGTCTGTTGAGTAAAGCTTGTATTTGGTTGAGAGAATATTTACTTGCTGCCTCCACTGATCTCAGGACATAAATTAATAGGAAGCTGTAAGGACCTTGTAATGATTCTCTGCACAGAGGTGAAACCTACTTGTGAAAGAATGTTGGTTCTCTGAGGATGCCTGTGAACACACCTTGCAGTGAGCTGATCAAACCGGAACACCTGCTCTGAGTTGGTCTTCCTGGCAGGCTTCGTGTGTCAAAGAAGGTCTCCTCTGGCCAGCTGTGGCTCAGAAGGGCTGGGGCCACTTCTCAAATTGGCATCTATCATCTTGATTTTTAGTTGTAATGAAAGACTTATTTGCAGCAGTAATATGCACTTGGCTTATGATATCAATAGTTCTTTTTCTAAGGTGCTGTTTATACAGCTAAGCTTTGCCTGCAGCCATTTCTCTTACTTCAAGCTGCAGCTGCAGAAGAATCATTTGAGCTTAGTGAGTTAAAGAAGCAAGAGAGAGGAAACATGATTTACTGCTAACTAAATTTCTTTGGGAACTGGTATTGGGTTCTTTTGTGAAAGGTCCCACCTGGTTCTTTGGTGTAGACAGAACCAGTCAGACCAAGCTGCAATAAACCTGTGTGTGTAAATGGTGTAGGCAGAATATTTGCTGGCACTTACTATGTAAAATCTACTGAGTTGTTTGCTCTGAACTGCGTGCTCTGAGAGCCTTCTGCCCTCTCGTTTGTATGTTGCTCCTTGAAAAAGAATTGGATAAGGAGCCGTATGCAAAATCAGCCAAGGAGCTCTCAGCAAGTAGTAGCAGTTGTTACTATTGATTAAAGTCACTGCAGAACTGAAAGGACAGAGGTTTATGTTCTGTTGTCTTACCATTGCCCTCAAAAAGGGGCATGCAGGCTGCATACTTCCTTAGGGGCACTGGATGTATGCTGGGAAGAAGTTCCTGATGGTGGAAAGAAAGGCGGAGAGCTGATCATTCTCTGCAGCCTACATGCTGGGAGAATTGCTCGTATGGAGTGACTGATTCACTAGAAAATTCATGGGCAATGGAAAGAGAAGGACTTTTCCTGTCATAGCTATGAGCATGCCAGTCAGTTCAGTAGCAAAATAAACAAGTATTTATTCTGCTTGCTGTTCTTCAGTCAGATGATGTCTTATTTGAATTCTTTAAGAGAAAGCTCAGGGAGACCTTATCTATGTATATACATACCTGAAGGGAGGGTGCAAAGAGGATGGAGCCAGGTTCTTCTCAGTGGGTCCCAGTGACAGGACCAGAGGCAATGGGTGCCAGCTGAGACACAGGAGGTTCCCTCTAAACATCAGGAAACAATTTTTCTCTGTGAAGGTGACTAAGCAATGCCACAGGTTGTCCAGGGAGGCTGTGGAGTCTCCACCCTTGGAGATATTAAAAAGCTGTCAGACACGGCTTGGTTGTTCTGTGTTTCTAAGAACAGCGCAGGTTCTGCTCAGAGCTGCAGCTCACACCCAGGAGTGAATGACACAGCATCTGTCTTCTGTATTTCTAGTTCTGGTTTAGACAAATAGGTTGCAGTGTCCAAGTGCTCCGTAAGTGGTGAATCAGTGGAAAGAACCCAAAAGGAACGGGGCGGGGGAGAGAGGAAGATGGTGAGGAGCAAGGAAAATAGAAATGCTGGAGGAAAAAAACTTCATGATAAATGACAATGTGCATAACAGAAGGTTGATGATGGAAGAGGATGATTGTATGAGATTGAACCTAGATACAGGGTGAACTGAGCTGACTGGAATAAGACCTTGGTATCTCAGTCATTTACTAATTTACAGCTCAGTCTTCTACTGGGACTGCCAGAGCAAGAGGACCACACAGGAGTTTGGGGAAAATAAGACAACAGGAATTAAAGATCACTGTCTGACACTTGCCTTGGTTCCTTTTACAAATATTTATTCTCAGTGCGTAAATAAAGAATAAACAAGGGAGGAAGTATTAAGCTCAAGTCAATAAGTTAAGGTCCAAGTAAAAAGATCTACTTCACCTGCGGTGTTTCCTGTATGTGTTATATTGCTTTTGAATATTGCATTTCATCAACAACTTTAGGAAATGACATCTGCTAAATATTTTACTGGTGAATATTTTAAATATCTTCAAAACATAATGTTCAAGAGATTCCCATTTCAATTCTTTTTCTTTAAATTACATTTTCTGATTACAGTGTAAAGCAGAAAATACAATTCAGACTGTGAAATAGGGTTACTTTAAAGAATCAAATATTTTATAGTCACTAGCAGCAAACTCCCCTTTTATACAAGAGCTTCACAATAGAAGTCAATAAGTCTCTGGTAATGTTTGCAGCTAAATCAACTGTTATTAATCTTATTGTCATAGCAAAGTAAATGTGACAGCGTTGTCAGAATATGTTCTCTCTTTTAAAGTTTGTTGCTTTTTCTCCACCCCACTTAAACAGAACAACTGTTAATAAAAATGGAATTTACCAGTTTGAACAGGCTTCAAAATGTAAGGCAATTCAGGACAACATTTTGTCATCATCTATCAAGAAGAAAAGGTAGGTGTTTGCTGTGCTTTATGCTTTGTTTGTTTTAAATAGAAGGGTAAAAAATTGTCCTCTTTTACATAATTCTCGATGATATTAATGTGAAGCTGTACAATAGGAAACTGAAATTGTTCAACCAATCTCTGCCTGCATTTTTTCTTTCACATTTATTAGATTTATTCGAGTTTGGATTTTATTTTTTTTTTTATTTTCCCAATATCCATCAACAGGATTTCTTCTTGCCAGTTAAGAACATTTTATTCCAAGATAATCACAGAAAGGTAGAACAATCTATGAGGTATAATTTCATTCTTGAGTGTCTTTTTGCTGATTGGTGAACACTCCTGCTATGAGCAACCTCATTTAATGGATTCTTTTCAGTGTATTCGCTAGAGTGAGCGTAGAAATGTACTAGTATAAAAACTTGCTAATTAATTGCACTCATTATAATAACTGGTCCACAGGAAACTAATTATTCAATTTTAGATACATTGAAAAAACACCCCAAATTGATTTTGGTTTTTAACTTGCTGTTCTACCTTTTCCTGACATGGAAAAATTATTTCCAAGCTCTTTGCTACTTGCTAAAGTGAAAATGGGAGAAACACCCCGTTACTTTTGACCTGTAACATTTTGCCTGTATGGATGCACCAATAAATAACACATTGTAAATAAAAAAGTCTTCCCATTAGAACCAAGTTCCAGCTTAAAATTAATTATGTGCCATAGTGTCTTTAAAATTGGAAGATTTTTTTTTCCCTCGTCGCTCCATTTGTGAAGAGAAGAGAAACAGAATGAGAAAAAAAAGCTGTGCTAAAAATCATTATGTGCCTTTCCTGATTCAAAGGACTGGAGAAGTCGAATTTTTTCTTAACACAGCAACAACATTAAATCATGATTTTAAAACTTCTGTCTTTTCTGCCCCCTCCTCACTTTCTCATTGTGTTTTAACACCTATTTTTAAGACACTATATTCCCAGCATTCTGTCTTCACTCTTTTAATTCTTTCTTCTTTTTTTTTCTTGTATATAACCTCTTCTCCCATCAATATTCCTCCTCATCAGCAATGCTGTCATTGAAGATTTTACTCTTTTGAAAGGTGGCGGACTACTTGTTACTGATGTGTTGCTAGTGAGAGCTGAAACAGAGGTTGGCAAACAGAGGTCAAAGAGTTAGTTGACTGAAAAATTGAGCAATTAACACCAAGAGAAGGACAACCAGTCACTGTATGGCCTCTGAAATCCAGATACAGCAATATAAATGCTGTTGTCTATCCCATGTGTTAGGAAGCTGTACAGGCTGCAGGAACGCAGGTGTGCTCTTTGTATCTAGAATGTTTTGGAGCCGAGACTGTAAGAGAAGCGTTAGGAATGGTGAGACCTTTATTCGGTGGCTAAAGAGAAAGGAGCTGCACTGTTTAACAAGAGAGAAGATGAATTGGGCAGGTAGGAAGCGAAACTGATGCTTGGAACAAAGAAGCAAGGGTCTGCTTTGTGACATGAATATTGCAACTCCTCGCCCTTCACTGAGAGGAGCTGCAGGGATCTTTGCCTTTTTGAGCTGTGACCCACAGGCAATGTATATAAATGCTTTATATTGCAGTTCTAGACTTTCAGGGACGTTCTGGACACTCTTGCCTCTTAAGTTGGCAGAAAGGGAAAAAATTACTATAAAGCTTGTCAAATGACTTGATAGTAAAAAATGCTATGTAAGTGAGAAGTTATTATTATAGCAAGTATGTGCTCGTGGTGGTAAAGAGCTTGAAATGCTGAGTTTTCCTGGCAGTTTTCCATTTTTATTCTAGAGCAAGCCCTGTGCACGCTCTCCTGAGGGCTTTAAAAACTGATAGTTGTTTTGGTAGTACTGAAGTGTCCAAAGGCAAAAGGGATCCTCCTTTTCTCTTGCATTTCCTGCTGTTGCTTTTCAACTGCCAAGTAGGAATATCCTTTTTTCACTCCTGCTGCTTAATTTTCTTTCTAATTCAAATAGCTTTTTTTTCAAGTAGATGTTTAGTTTTAGCAAGTAACCAGTGGGGCTGCATCTGTCTCTCTGTTCTAACATTTTACCTAGTGTGTTACTACTATCTCAACACTTTTGTCCTTGCTGTTGTCCTTTAGGTATCTGCGAAAAATTAGAAGATACTTATACTTTGTCAGTGCCTCGACTGTGCATAATAATTCCACCTTAGCCACTGCAGTTAATGTAGAAGGTCGCTGCGTACCTGACGAGTACTATAGACTAAAAAGAACTTCCAGGTGTTGTTTGTCAGCAAGGCTTATACAGTATAAATGAGTTTCCTACAACAGCAAGTTATTATAGTGGTTGTGGTGCAGGTGGTGAACAAAACCAGAATAAAATGTGTTTCATTCACTATTCTTAGCACTGTAATTATTGTCTTGTCTGTGTATTTTTATAGTTCAATTTACTTGAGCTTTTTTATCTTAATAATAAAACCCTTTTAGCATCAGTGAACATGTGCTGTAAGCTCCTGGGTGCCAATGGAAATATATGTATTGTCCCAGCTCTTTAAAACGGAACAGTGGAGAAGACGACTGTCTGGGTTACAACAGAGCCATGAAATGATATTATGATGGCCTTCTGGACTGATTTCTGTTGGAGGAGTGAGTCCCCAAGGCTCCTTTAAAGCAGGAAATGCTAAAATGGGCTTTCTGAGATGAAAACAAAGCTTTCTGGGCTGTAAACTCAGCTGCAGCAAATCCCAGAGTTTCACCTTGAGTCTTTAAAAAGATTAATATAGGGGAATATTGTCTGCATTTAGGAAGAGCTCATGTCATGGAAGCCTTATATTGGTGTGAGCCGATGTGGCGGCCACCTTGCAGAGCTGCTGCAGGCAGGAGCTCCTGTCCCCCAGGACATGCTGCTGGGTTGTCCCTGCCACTTGCGGTGCTGTGCCAGTGCTGCCAAAGATGAGTTCTGGCAGTCCATAGTCTCTCTGGAAGTCACAGGAGGAGCAAACCTCTGCAGGTGGAGCAGATGTGGTATTCTGTCTTGTAAGAACCTGTAAGTGGTGCGTTTCTGGGGGAGCTGGTGAGCTTAGGCACCTCCAAGCAAGAGTGGTTCCATCCAGTAAACAGCAATGGAAAGGCAGCAATGTTCTTGCATTGTAGCTCGTGTTTTTACCCTAGGTGCAACTTCCGTTACATGTATAAGGAGGTCTTTACAGTTTCTGACAGTGACTGCTGTGTTTCTCATGAGACCTCAAAACTAGCATTATGGATGATGCTTTGATTTGTCTCCTTACCAGATGTTTCCCTGTAACTTGCTAATAACTTGTCAGTCCATGCAATTTCTTTCTGAGCTGATGGTAATTTTTCTTTTCATTTCTGACTCTGATCTTCATCTTATAAATGTCTTTAGGCTAGAATTTGCTTCTTCTGTATTTTTTTTCTCCTAGATAATGATAGCCTAAGTAACTCTTCATGCCCTGTTATCCTATTAATTTTTGAAATTTTTGCGTAAGTCCCAGCATCTAAGAGTTATTTATTGTTTAGCCTTAAGGAATAAAACTAGATGAGTGATCCAGCATCAACATAGTCTATTTTAGTCCTGTGCTTCTGTCCCATCCTTCCCCCACATGCACTCCTTGTCCTGCCCTGTGCTGGTACTGACACTTGTCTGACCTCACAGTGAGCCAATTTAGGTAGCAGCTTCAGCAAGGAAGTAGTTCCATTTTCTCTGGCTGCAGTTCCAAGGCTTCTAATACAACATACCAGCAGGCAGCTGCCAAAATAGGAAAGCCTTGTTCCCAGTTTCTCCACTCCCATCACTCCTTGCTTATACTGGCTGTGGTATTCAAGGGAATCAGTCCTGATTTGCTGTAACACACTAAAGAGGAAGAAAATGCATATGCATAATTTTTTCTTTCTGGGTTATTTTTTTTGCCATGGTGGTGAATTAAAGTGGCCTATGAAGGCACTTGACAAGTGTGAAAGCTGGCAAAACCAAAACAGAGGTGGAGTCAAGTAAGTATCAGCAGTGGCCCAAGGAAGAGAACAGGTTTGGAGGTGGACTGGAAGGAGGAAGAATGCACTGCACCGGGTCAGATCAGCTACAGCTGCAATTAAACTAGTTTTACTCTTTTCCCTCTTCTGCCCTTTC